AAAGTTGCAAAGACTAAAGTCTCAAATCCAAAGAGATATTCTTTATAAAAGTCAAGAGTCAACCACGTAAAACGGCTCATTCTAACACTCCCCCACATGTCTTTTTTTGCTATATCGCCCAGCCCTAATTTGAACTAGGATCACGTGACCGGAGCAGCTGCTGTTGCACAAAAAGGCAAGAGTGGTGCCGCTGTTTCGAAAACCAGTTAAACTACTAACACAGAAGAAGAGTATCCCGAGAGAGAAGAGAGTGGATGACGAGTTTTTGTTATTTTTGGTATCTGAGAACAGATTTATTCTCACATGTTCTTAATATAATTCTATTAATTATCCACTGAATTGTCATCTGGAGTGTTTTCTTCCACGTGCGCGAGTATGATGAGTCAGAGCGCGTTCACTCTAGATCTTCCATATTAATAAATTCGAGGGAAACATTTTTCTACACATGAAATATGAAAGCACGTAGACATATGATTATGACGATATATTTTCTGTATGTGTTTTATATACAGCTCATGTTATTTTTATAACAATAAAGGATGTTTATGACAATAAGCAGTGTGGCGTTACTAAACACAACGAGTACGTGTATGCCTAGAATCAAAATCAAATATAGATCACTATCGGGAGTTATTACAAGCACTCGATGGTTTAAAGTGGGTTTTAAGCAAATACATTAATAATTACATACATTTTCAAATGTGGCTTGTTGCTAATTGTACTTCTATTTATATTTTACGAAGTTTTCTTGTAAGCATTATAGATGGTTTGTTTCTGGTGTAGAACCTAACTTTATTTAGCTATATTTATTTAATGCTGTATATTGAGCAGTGGACGATGTTAAATCCATATATGAGATACATATCTGAGGAAAAATGCATTGTTGGTCAGCGCCACCTAGCGTGCAGGTGTGAATTAGCAGAAGGCGAACAATCGTTTTGCGTTTGGTGTGAAAGCACTGTTTGTCAGCGATTCGCCTCGCTTTTTTGCATCGCGCTCAGTGTGGAACGACCTTAAAGGGGTCATATGATGCGATTCAATTGTTCCTTTCTCTTTGGAGTGTTACATGCTCTTGGTGCATAAAGAAGATCTGCAAAGTTGCAAAGACTAAAGTCTCAAATCCAAAGAGATATTCTTTATAAAAGTCAAGAGTCAACCACGTAAAACGGCTCGTTCTAACACGCCCCCACATGTCTGTCACGATGTGGGAAGATTTGCATAACGCCACCCAAATGTTCTCGCAAAGAAAGAAGGCGTAACTTTTATTCTCGCTGTAGTATTGTTGCTGCTGCCACCGCCATGTCGTGAAGGCGCTGTGTGTTTCATATGAATCATATGAAGATTTATGTAGTTTATGCACATTTGTTCAAAACAGCCTGGCAGATTGTTCACAAGATGTAGGCAAATGTTTGTATTGTATACAGGAAGGCTCATTCTTCTGTTGCGCTGCTTGTCTATTTCTCTTCAAAGCACCAACTTAAAATGCCTATTTTGGTTTGATTGCTTGTGTCACATGAGAAAATTAATAATTTTGCCTTACTGATGCAGTAGCCTATTTAATGCGGGTGCGGTTCAGGTCGCGCTCTTTATGTCAAACGGGTCGGGTACAGAATTAAATTGGAGCTGGCTGCTGTCGGATAATGAGTCGTGTGTTCTGTTGTGTACTGCGGATGCAGGTTTACCTAACAGCACCCGTGCAGGACTCTGCTTTAAACTGCTTTGCGTCTCTCCGTCAGATAACCTCACGTGCATGATGGGTCATTTACGGGTATTTCCCTAAACCGACACACATCAATTTATTTAGATTTTTTTTTTTTCAGTTTATGAAAATGTTTTTTGACCAATCGTTTTCGTCTTAGTTTTCGCTTACGAAATAACCTTGCTGGAGACGGGCTTATTTAAAATGAAAACTCATTCTCTGTCACCAGGAGGTGCTTTTAAAGTGATAAAACCTGTTTTTTACAGTCTATGGATAAAACTAGCGGTTTCCCCAGTAATGGCTGTAATCAAAGCAGCTCCGCTCATGAATGCTACTTTATCAGATCAAATGAAAATGCCATCGAAACTTTTCTGAAGACAGTCGGTTCCCTTCAGAGATACATTCATATAAAACACCCCGCGCCGTGTTATGATTTTGAAACGTGCAGTGCTCATGTTTATTCAACGAAGTCAAACGGCACAAATAAATAAATGTATGGGAAACTGGTAATGTATATCGAAATATCGGAAATGTGTTTAAAAATCATATCACCGTTATTGAAAAAAATAATATCGCGATACAAATTGATATTGAATTATTGTCCAGCCCTAACCTTAAACCGCATAAACACATTTCATTACACCAAATACACCAAATAATGTTCTTTTTAGCAGCATCATTTGACCCCTTTAATGTTGTTGAAGTTATTTGCTGCTTTTTATATGCAGCTAATCACTACACCAGCTTAGCATTTCTCGTGTAAACCTCATTTTTTGTTGAAAATATGAAAATACCCCAAATCTAATGAAAATCGCATACAAACCGTATACTATAGTAATCGTGTGTTTATTATTTTGATGTTTTGAGTGTAGAAACGTTTCTCTGGGTTTGTTGTGGATAGAACAGAACGCGGAAGTGTGGTGAAAACCTGTGGTCAGAAGAGACAGGGTGGGTTATGAACGCGTAATATGATTGACAGATGAGCAGCGAATGAGTCACAACAGCGACCGCAGAAGAGAAAACATACTGAGACCGTGCTGGGAGCACCTAATGCTCATCAGATCACGTAAATCAGTGGAAAATTTATAGAAATTATGATTTTGTGTAAAGAAATGATGTAAATATGTATAAAAATATCAGTATTTCTCCAAATATGTGCACTTTTGGACTAAAAGCCCTAATAGACGCTGTTCAGGGACGCTTGCACATGACTGCCTGCCTGAGTTTTGTCGACAGCCACACAGTTTGGCGGAGGCGGCCACCTCATGATTCTCTATGAAGGAAAAACCCTTCAAATGGATCATATTTTGTTCATGCCAGTTGTCTCATAAGTAACAGGTGTATTAGGTTTGGTGCTAAAGATGTTAATTTTTCAAACACCACATAGCTGCAGTTTACAAATGTTATAGTCATGGTCATCTCTGTGCATTAAGTGTTTAAATGTTGAATCAATTTGTGAACCCATTTTGGTATTGAATGTAAAGTAAAGAAATGGCATAGTTTGTACAACAAAACAGCATCTTTGAGGAGCATAAGGAGTGTGTAAAAATGTACATTAATTTCCTATCTTCAGGCTGATGTGATAATTTGAAACATCCCCTCCTGTTTCAGGTTCATATACTTGACGTTATTGTCTGTTCTTTACCCATTAGGTCCATATGTATTCTCTCATTGTACAGCTACAAAGAAACATCTCCTTGCCTTGCCTAATTATGGTTTTGTTATAGGTTGTTCTTCCAAGTGCTTATTATGTCCATTGGTTCCTTTCTCAGTATGTGGCAAACTGTGTTGTTATTGAACGAACTGAAATGTCAGTGAAGTGTGAGGAAGAAAGCAGCAAAGTTCTCTTTTTTTTTGAGCACAGTATTTTTGTAGGTTTAGTTCTCAGGGCTGCATTTTGAGGCTAGTGTCTGTTTTGCAAGTTTCAGTTCTATAAGCATATAGAACTGAGTGTCATGCATGCTTCAGTATTTGTGTAGTAAACAAAACCGTGTTTCCGCCATTCATACATACAGAGGCAAGCGGAACATGCAGGATTCATATTTAATCATATTTAAACCGTCTTTTTTTGCATTTTAATATTCACAGACATTAGTTCATATCGCGATTCGAATTAAGTGGCAGTGGATACTTTTGATTTACTCGTCCAAAATGGACGAATTCCGTGACATTCCGCGCTATAGAGTAAATTACGTTTTTATGATTGGACTCCACGATCCCGTCCGCATTTCGCAGAAACCATATGGCCCTAGAAATGTAACCACACTTCACAACATTTCGGCTTGCCTTGTAATTCGGTCAGTCAGTCGGTACCCTTAAAAATACAGAGTTCGGTACCCAACCCTAGTTAGTTTCAAGGAAAATAATTTTCAAATAAATCTTTTTTGCCAAATAACCCTGTGTATGTGTCCACCCCTGCAACCCCCCAAACCCCGGAGAAAAGTTCAGACACAGGATTTTTTTTTGCTTTAACCCCTGCATGGTGGATGTGTCCATGCAGTTATGCTTTGCGCTACTTACAGGTAGCATGTGAAGAAACGTATCAAAATGGGGGTTGTTAAAATTACATTGTCTGTGACAAATTGATACACTCAAATGAAATTGTTACAGTTACAGACGTGTGTGTGTATATTGGGTATGTTTCAGTGTAACTCGTCAGAATTAATTCTGGTTTATAATATTATTGCTATTTTTATTATTTCTGTAATGATATATATTTTTAAAATATATAATTGAATTTATTTTAAAATGAAGAAAATATATATTTAAATTATTTATAAATGAAATGCAATATTTTAATTAATTTAATAATATATAAGCAATAATATATTTAGCAATATAAGTCTTTGGTCATGCAGCCCACCCCTAAATACATAAAAATATTTACATATACATATCTAATATCACAGTAATTATGGCCCTATGAGATCAATTTTATTTGATCCCAAATTCAGTTTCTTTTTTTTTTGTCCCAGTTAAAATTTTTCTGGATACTCTTTTAATGATTAAATTAAAAAGAATGTACAAAAATGTAAAAATATTATTTTTTGTTTGCTCTGGTTAATGCTTTAATATAAGTGTAATAATCAAAAAGCATGTCGAAATGTATATGTATATGTAGATGTAGACCTACAAACAGTAGCACCTCTGGTTGCCTTAGAAAAATCAGTAAAGTACAGTGTTCCCCAAGACCTGTAGTTCTTCATGCATCATAACCTATTGTCTCTTATCACAGTCTTTCTCCCTGCCTCCCTCCTTGTGTATCACTCCTAATTCTGTATGTCTTTTTATCATCTGGCAGACAGACACTCTGGATGGGGCCTTTCCAGTGCCTGACATCAAACTCCACAGCAACCCCTCTGCATTCAACGTCTACTGTAATGTACGGCACTGCGTCCTGGACTGGCAGCAGAAGGAGGCCGCGTTGGCCCTGGCCTCCCGCAACTCTGTGCAGAGCGGCGACTCAGACAGTGAGGAGGAAGAGGAGTACCGCGAACCCACCATCAAACTCCCCAAGGTCAGTCGACGATATTAATAAAGCCCAATCTTATGATCCTATCGTTCGTGCTTTAGTATATATCCTTTTTTTGTTTCATTTCTGCCTTTTGTATCTCTTATGATAACTGCAGTGCTATATTATGAGACTATTACTTCAGTATGGTTAATTATATTTGAGCTTCTTGTGTGGTCATGATACTAAACACCAGCATTGGATTAATTAATGATGGCCTAGCTTTCTACTGAATGTGATTGCCTAAGCTGTAAAGAATACATGCCATCCTGTGTGAGGTGTCATACGCCATATTTACACCAGGTGCCACCGTTGTCGTTCCATAACAGCATGAGGCTGTCTACAGTGGGCGCATTAAAGTGAAAGTTTTGAATCCATTTGTACTGTTGTCGGAAGTAGCACAAGCGCTTGGAGTATGTTAGAAATAGAACGGGGCATCAGTCACAACTAGGGCTGGGTGATATGTAAAACATTTTTTTATCGATAATCGCCTTAATAAATATCGCGATATCCGTTAATAATAGTCTATTCGAGCCCCGCGCCGTCCCTGCCGGAGACAACATAGCCTACACACTCCATAAACACACATCAGTTTGGTTGCGCTTTATCTGACAGTGATTCAAATTAAGTGGCAGTGGATACTTTTGATTTACTCGTCCAAAATGGACGAATTCCGTGACATTCCGCGCTATAGAGTAAATTACGTTTTTATGATTGGACTCCACGATCCCGTCCGCATTTCGCAGAAACCATATGGCCCTAGAAATGTAACCACACTTCACAACATTTCGGCTTGCCTTGTAATTCGGTCAGTCAGTCGGTACCCTTAAAAATACAGAGTTCGGTACCCAACCCTAGTTAGTTTCAAGGAAAATAATTTTCAAATAAATCTTTTTTGCCAAATAACCCTGTGTATGTGTCCACCCCTGCAACCCCCCAAACCCCGGAGAAAAGTTCAGACACAGGATTTTTTTTTGCTTTAACCCCTGCATGGTGGATGTGTCCATGCAGTTATGCTTTGCGCTACTTACAGGTAGCATGTGAAGAAACGTATCAAAATGGGGGTTGTTAAAATTACATTGTCTGTGACAAATTGATACACTCAAATGAAATTGTTACAGTTACAGACGTGTGTGTGTATATTGGGTATGTTTCAGTGTAACTCGTCAGAATTAATTCTGGTTTATAATATTATTGCTATTTTTATTATTTCTGTAATGATATATATTTTTAAAATATATAATTGAATTTATTTTAAAATGAAGAAAATATATATTTAAATTATTTATAAATGAAATGCAATATTTTAATTAATTTAATAATATATAAGCAATAATATATTTAGCAATATAAGTCTTTGGTCATGCAGCCCACCCCTAAATACATAAAAATATTTACATATACATATCTAATATCACAGTAATTATGGCCCTATGAGATCAATTTTATTTGATCCCAAATTCAGTTTCTTTTTTTTTTGTCCCAGTTAAAATTTTTCTGGATACTCTTTTAATGATTAAATTAAAAAGAATGTACAAAAATGTAAAAATATTATTTTTTGTTTGCTCTGGTTAATGCTTTAATATAAGTGTAATAATCAAAAAGCATGTCGAAATGTATATGTATATGTAGATGTAGACCTACAAACAGTAGCACCTCTGGTTGCCTTAGAAAAATCAGTAAAGTACAGTGTTCCCCAAGACCTGTAGTTCTTCATGCATCATAACCTATTGTCTCTTATCACAGCCTGCCTCCCTCCCTCCCTCCTTGTGTATCACTCCTAATTCTGTATGTCTTTTTATCATCTGGCAGACAGACACTCTGGATGCCAGTGCCTGAGTGCCTGACATCAAACTCCACAGCAACCCCTCTGCATTCAACGTCTACTGTAATGTACGGCACTGCGTCCTGGACTGGCAGCAGAAGGAGGCCGCGTTGGCCCTGGCCTCCCGCAACTCTGTGCAGAGCGGCGACTCAGACAGTGAGGAGGAAGAGGAGTACCGCGAACCCACCATCAAACTCCCCAAGGTCAGTCGACGATATTAATAAAGCCCAATCTTATGATCCTATCGTTCGTGCTTTAGTATTTTTTGTTTTTTTGTTTCATTTCTGCCTTTTGTATCTCTTATGATAACTGCAGTGCTATATTATGAGACTATTACTTCAAATTATATTTTTATATTTGAGCTTCTTGTGTGGTCATGATACTAAACACCAGCATTGGATTAATTAATGATGGCCTAGCTTTCTACTGAATGTGATTGCCTAAGCTGTAAAGAATACATGCCATCCACCAGGTGCCACCGTTGTCGTTCCATAACAGCATGAGGCTGTCTACAGTGGGCGCATTAAAGTGAAAGTTTTGAATCCATTTGTACTGTTGTCGGAAGTAGCACAAGCGCTTGGAGTATGTTAGAAATAGAACGGGGCATCAGTCACAACTAGGGCTGGGTGATATGTAAAACATTTTTTTATCGATAATCGCCTTAATAAATATCGCGATATCCGTTAATAATAGTCTATTCGAGCCCCGCTCCGTACCTGCCGGAGACAACATAGCCTACACACACCGTAAACACACATCAGTTTGGTTGCGCTTTATCTGACAGTAGCCTGCGATTCAGTAAGCTTAATTTAATTAAAGGTTATATAGGTTCGTATTTTATATAGGTACTTTGTGCTTAATATAAAACATTAGCTTTGTTGTTATGTTAGTGTTGTTAAAGGGTTAGTTCACCCAAAAATGAAAATTAGCCCATAAATTACTCACCCTCAAGTCATCCTAGGTGTATATGACTTTCTTCTTAGAAAGAAGATTAATCAGAGTTATATAAAAAAATTTCTTTGATCTTTCAAGCTGTTTAATGCCACTCAGCGGGTGTTGCATGCATCAGTCCAAAAGAAGTTAAATAATAAACGCCCATCCATAAAAAAAAGTGTCTCACACGGCTCCGGGGGCGGGCGGGGGGAAGGAGGGTTGAACAAAGGCCTCCTGTAGCGAATCGATGCGTTTTTGTAAGAAGAATATCCATATTCAAAACGTAATAATCACTTAATCTAGCTTGCGCCAACAGTTGTACATGGAAGCAGCTCCGGGCTGATGAAGTATGAAGTCAGCATTCGCATGCGCCGGTGAGTCTCGTGAAAACCAACGTTTGTTAACAGGAGCAAAGGAAGCATAGTTTCCTTACTTTAGCAAAGGAAAACCAGTCTCCTCTTGGCTTATATTTCGTAAGCGAAAACTAAAACTCATTTTGTACTTCTAATTCGTGACCGTTGTTTTGTTTTGATCTCTCCGCTGCGCTTCCGCGTTCGTCACTTCTGAGCGGTGCATGCACAAAGCTGACCTCATACGTCATCCACCCGGAGCTGCTTCCGTGTAGGACTGTTGGCACAAGCTACATTAAAGTGATTATTACGTTTTGAATATGGATATTTTTCTTACAAAAACACATCGATTCGCTGCAGGAGGCCTTTGTTCACCCCTCGGAGCCGTGTGAGACAATTTTTTTTATTTTTATGGATGGAACTAATTTTGGACAGATGCATGCAACACCCGCTGAGCGGCTTTAAACAACTTGTAAGATCAAAGACTATTTTTTATATAACTCTGACTGGATTCGTCTGAAAGAAGAAAGTCATACTCGTATACACCTAGGATAACTTGAGGGTGAGTAATTTATGGGCTAATTTTAATTTTTGTGTGAACTAATCCTTTAATTTCTACACTGCTCTTATCCAGTATTTGAAATGAATTTCATTTTGTGAAGACAATTGAATTGAACAGAGTTTTAACAGAGTTCATTGTGAAGGTGGACATACTTGTGGTGATTGTAAGAATGATAAATGCATGTTGATGTCACATAGCAATGTGTCTTGCCTATTTTTCATGAGGTCCGATGTAGGGCTGTGCGATTTGGGGGAAAATAGCAAATTGCGATTTTTTTGACAGATATTGCGATTGTGATTTGATTTGCGATTTGCAAAGTCAAGCTTTAGCTCAATATTGCCAATAATGTGCAGCACAGTAATGGGTATCATTACCCTGCTGAAAAAAACAATAGAAACCATCACAGAAATTCTTATAGTTTGCATTAAACCATTACAAAATTACTTTTTGTTTTGGGCATTATTCCAATAGGAATTACTGTTGTTCTATTGGTTCCCATCTGCCAGATTACATCCCACCAATAGAATCCATCAAATAGACACCATTATAGTTGACATTTAAAACCAATACAATTCCCATTATAACCCTGAAATCCATTACATTTGTTATTGTGTTTTGGGAGAGATTCTATAAGAAGCATTCACAGACACAGGCTGTGTGTGTGCTCTTCTGAATTGGGAATAGCGAACATGCATCAACGTTTTTGATTCAAGATTACGAGGGCATATGAATTAAAAAAAATTATGAAGTGCACGGATAAATTATTTCTAATAAACACTACAGTATTCCATTAAAAAATATGAATTTTCAATTTTGATTTCATGGTGACTTTAAGACCCAGAAGCAAGCTTACTGAGCAATAAAGCTATAGTGAGCCCTTTTATTAAAGGGGTCATATAATGTTGCTAAAAATATTTTTTTTGTGTGTATTTGGTGTAATGAAATGAGTTTATGCGGTTTAAAGTTCAAAAAACACATTTTCCACATACTGTACATTCTTGTTTCTCCTCTATGCCTCGCCTTTCTGAAACGCGTCGATTTGTACAAAGCTCATCAGTCTGAAAAGCGAGGTGTGCTCTGATTGGCCAGCTATCCAGTGCGTTGTGATTGGCCGAATACCTCA